TATTTCTTTCATAGTTTGTCATTTTATGAATGGCAACCTCTTGATAATTTTTCTACGGATTTTGAAAATAAACATGACGCTTTGGAATATTAGTGTAAAGGTATTTTATTTTAAGTTTGTTAGGAGAAAGGAGAATTGTTAGTTCTTGCAAATCTCGAACATCAAGCACTATCTAAACAATATTTAAAAAATCTAATCTTCACGTTGTGGTAGCGTGTGAGACCCCATTAGAATAACGACTGTATAGCAAGACTTAGCAAGAAATCAGAATTGTGTGAATTATAATAGATTAATTTTGAAGGAAATATTCTCTGAAATGATGGTATACATATCAACTCAAAGCATAGCGAGCAAAACGATTTTTATTAAAGACATGCAAATTTTTATTGGTGGGAAAATGTTAGTGTGAACTATATAAAAACTGATTTGGGTAAAATTCATTTTAACCAGCTACTTTTATTTCTGACTGAACATCGTGTTTTATGCAAAACAATTATATCACATGAAAATTCTGATGTTATGTATATAGCAAAGAAACTGCATCTAATAATCATTTGGGTAAAAAAGTACCTTGAATACATACATATCCTTCTCTGCAAAGGAAAAACAGCACATGTATATGGCGTCTGTAAGGAGTAAATTAAACATACGTATGTGTACATCTTATAGAGAGCAAATATCATCTGCAGCAATTCATTTGGGAAAAGAGTGCTTTAAAAAAATTACATGTATGTATATCACATTAGACAAACTCCTGTCTACGAGATTTGCAGTAAGCTATTTCGAATAAAGGCTCATATTTACCCAGACAGAACCCTCATCTTTGTATATATAAGAGAGCTGTTAATTTTACCAGGATTGACTGAGAAAATTGTGATTTTACAGCTCTATCCAAAGCTGTATGTTGGATTGAAAAATTTCTCTGGTTTTTAAGTAATTGATTTCAAAAATTAAAATAATAATTAATATTTTATAGAATAGTGTTAATTTCAGTGAACATTTAATAAAGTTTTTATTGGAATGCACTCATTTGTAGATAAAATATAGAGAAGTAATTTTGTCAGTGCAATTTAGTCCTTCTACACATGTATGGAAAACCTGCTACACAATGTGTGCTGTTGACTGACATCATTGTACTATCATTTCCTTATATTTCTTCATGCTAGCATTTGTTTCTCATGCAGGAAGCAGGGTTATGTAACTTCCAGGTTTATTATTGTTTTTAACAATGAAATTAATTTATTATTAAATGTCCATAATTGTCATCTGGGGGAAAGTGCAGAATCGCCCACTGCTTGGTGCATTTTTAAGAATTGCACATACTCGGTATCCATGTACACATTGACCTATTTTCACTTTAAAAGTCAATGAAAATTTAAAAAATCCAATTCTTCTTACTCTTGTAAAAAGCGCCAAATGAATAAGAGGACGATTCTGCACTTTAGCCATCCTCTGAAGTAAAGTAAATATAGATATGTAACAAATTGTTGTATTTGGACCCAAACAACTATTTGAATATGAATGTGGTCATTCACATAGGAGAGAAACCTCATGTAACAAACCTCATGTAATGTTTGTAACAAGACATTTGAAAAAATGAATACTTTAAAAGAGCATATGCTTATTCACACAGATAAGAGAACTTACATTTGTGAGGTATGTAAGAAGTCATTTACACGCAGCAGTGATTTAAAACGGCATATGTTCATTCATACAGGAGAAATACCTTACGTGTGTCAAGTATGTCATAAGTCATTTAAACACAAAGATTATTTAAATGTGCATATGCTTTCTCACTCTGGAGAGAAATGTCATGTTTGTAAAGTATGTAAGACGTCATTTACACACAGCATTAATTTACTGAAGCATCTTCTTATTCACTCAGGAGAGAAACCTCATATGTGCGAAGTACGCCAGAAAGCATTTGGAGTCAAGAGTGCATTAAAGGAAAATATGCTTATTCACACAGGAGAAAAACCTCACGTGTGTGAGGTATGCAGTAAAGCATTTAGAGTCAAGCGTATGTTAAACAAACATATGTATATTCACACAGGAGAGGAACCTCGTATATGTGATATTTGTCAGAAACAATTTATAAACAGCAGTAATTTAAAGAAACATATACTTTATCACACAGGAAAAAAAACCTTATATATGTGAAATATGCAACATACCATTTAGAGTAAAGACTACATTAAGGAAACATATCCATGTTCACACAAGGGGGGGGGGAACTCATGTTTGTGAGATATGTAGCAAAGCATTTAAATTTATGAGTAAGTTAGTTGACCATATGCATATTCATACTGGAAAGAAACCTTATGTATGTGATGTTTGTAAGAAATCATTTACACAGTTTGGTGGTTTTAATGCACATTTCCGTATTCATATAGGAGAGAAACCTTATGTATGTGATGTCATTTGCACTCAAATGTAATTTAAGAATTCATATGCATATTCACACAGGAAAGAAATCTTATATATGTGATGTTTGTAAGAAATCATTTACACAATTTGGTGGATTTAAGGTGCATTTGCGTATTCATACAGGAGAGAAACCTTATATATGCGATATTTGTAAAAAGTCATTTGCATTCAACTGTAATTTAAGAAAGCATATGCTTGTTCACACAGGAGAAAAACCTCCTGTGATCAGGACCAGCATCAGAGAATGTGCAACAGATGCAGGTGGCAAAATTTATAGAATTTAGCGAGCTACTGGGTGGTAGATGCTAGGAATCAAAGTAATTGCACTACGTGGCAAGAAGCCTAGGCTGGCACTGTGTGTAATTTATGTTGTGAGTCATGTAATCTAAAGGGTAATTTAAATATGCATATGTATGTTAGTTGACAGAAAAGTCTGTGTAATGTATGTAATAAATCTTTTAGAACAAAGAGTTGAAACAATCATAGGCGTCTTGCAGGAAGGATAACTCATCTATATTATTATGCAAGAAGTTTACTCACAACAGAATTTTAAATATGCATATGCTTAATCATGCAGCAGAGAAACCTAATGATTTATAGAATTCATGATTTTTCACACTGGAAAGAAACTTTTGATGTTTGGTATCTAACATGCAGAGTGAGATTTAGATGTGATAAAGCCCTAAGCTATTTGAGATATGGGGGCCCTTTATAAGTCTGTTATACTATAATTTAATACTATATTTTAAATTTTGGGGGCCCTAAGCTATAGCTTGTGTAGCTTATACGTAAATCCTGCACTGCTAACAAGGCATTTAATGAAAGAGTATAATTAGGATCAGCCTATGCTTATTTATAGAAGCGAAATATCATGTCATTTTTTATGTATCAAGTTTTTAGAATAATAAGTGACTGATTCTCTCATTTAAAATCAGGGGACTGTATAGTCTTTGATTTTTTTTGCTCGTGTAATTTTTATCTTCCATATTGGATGTATTTTACAGCATTTATGAACAGTTAAGAAGTATGATATATTCGGTTTTGTGACTTTCTGTTAAGCCCTGCAGGCAGAAGATTTTTCACTTTAATAAAATGTCTATTATGTCTTGAATAATTATTATCTTGTTTGAACAAAGAAAGTATTTCCACGTGGTGCCAATTTATGATAAAATGATTTTGATATGAATACTTTTTTCTCCTATTGTTTTGCTTTGTTATTTTGAAAAGCTTGTTTTTTAAACATACCAGCATTAAAGAAGCTTAAGCTGGCATTGTGTGTTCTTGTAGATAAATAGGATTACAGGAAGATTTCTGAAGATAAACTGGATTATCTTTAGATTACGTAAAACATAATTCCTGAAGATAAACATTCTTTTATTGTTAAGAATGCCTTGATATAAAATATCACTAAGTCTACATAATATGCAAGAGCTTCTGGTGTTGAGAGACAGTGCCATAGCCAAAGTTTGCAGCCTGACATTGTCAATGAACATATCAAGTTGTTTCTTTCTGGTGGTTACCAAGACAATTTACATAACAATCACAACTTACCCTTTAACTGTAGAAGCAAGATGTTAAATCTGTAATCTGCTAACATGCATTTTGTAGATCACTTATATTTTAATACTTCAAAGTGTTCTACTTAAAATGCTAATGTATGGGGTAAAAGTATAGTTTAGGGTACCTCTTGGCAATTTTTGGTGGTACAGTTCTTTGACTCGTTATTTTGGCTTGCGAAGCAGCAATTTTTGCACCAAAAATCGCCGCTACACAAAGCCAAAATAACAAGACAAACAATTGCACAAACTCGGTATCCATGTAGACATCGACTTATTTTCACTTCAAAAAAAGTCATCGAATTGCACAAAAATGGCATTGCGCACTCCTTTGACTTAATCCATGTACACGTTGACCTATTTTCACTTTAAAAAAAAAATCCCCAAATTGCACAAAAATGGCTTTGTGCACTCTTTTAACTTTATCCATGTACCGTTGACTTATTTTCACTTAAAATGTCAAAGGAGCACCAAATTCTGCAATATAGGCAAACAAAGAATATATAATCTCAATAAAATGCATTTTAAATCAAACAATAAAGTAACATAAAAAAGGAAAAACATGGTATACATTTAAGCACTACCAAAAACAAATATTCACTTACCATGATTTTCGAGTTTTCTTCGTACACCCAGAGCCACGTAAAAATTAAAATATCAATCATACTCAAATGACTTTTTTCAAACCAGGTACTCTTTCTGATCGAACACTTCACATAGTGACCATTTACACCTTTCTTCCTACAAACCCATTCAAATCCAACTAAACGTTTCTTACGTTCGACTAGACGCATATCCTTCCTACATACAGAGTACTTATAATGGCTACTAAGTAAACCTTCATTTACACACCAGTCAATTAAAGCTCCTCTTTCGCTCCAAATCGTACAGAAACTTCAAATTAATCTTACTACATTCGACCATTCTACCGTCTAAAGAATCAAACCAACACACACCACTAAAAATGCTTACAAAACATCCCATGATTCAAAATTTCCCAGAATCATGCACCCGATTACATCACAACAGGTTTTCCATAACATTCAACTACTCAGGCTACTATAAATGAAACAACAACTTGGCGATAAATCAAACAACTTCGCGATAATGCAAGGGGTACCTTAAAGTCTACTCTACCCATGTATGGTTATAAGTCTTATATATTAAACTTGGCTCCTACAAAGTTTAACATAGAATACAGAGCAAATTCCCTTGAATTTCAGACTTTTGTCAGGACATTGCCATCATGCTGATCAAGCAACTTGGGGTATGTCAACTTTCCAATTCATCGAACATAAATCCATATATTTAAATATGGCAAGTACCAGTGGTCTTAAGAAACTATTTGCATTTGTATTTAAAATTAGAGTTAATAGTTATTGTATTTTTAAATTACTTATTTAAAAAAGTACGATTAAAGACTGCAGAAATGCTAAATTCAGCAATATTTCTTTTTTTTTTTTTTTTTTTTTTTTCAAATGTGTATTGCAGCTGGTACTATTCTGTTATCAGGACCAGATTCAGAAACATACTATGTATGTATTGATGTATATATGTACGTACAAATGTATGTGTGTGTAAATCTATATATGCACATACATTTATTTCTAAATCCAGTCCTGATAACAGAACAGTGCCTTGCAATATTCAGTGTTGGTCTATTTAATATTGTAATCAAAGTATTGATTATATTTACAAACATTTGCTTAAGCAAATATTTAAAATTTTAACTAATAGTGAGTTTTTTTTTTTTTTTACTTCAAATGAAGTAAGCTTAAAAGTTTTAAAAAGCATTAACAGTTTTTTCCTATGAAATGTAAATTTTAGTTTCATTATTTTCCTACTTATGCATGAATTCAAAACAGTGCATTATTTGTGCCTTTTAAGAATATTCTGGTGTTAAGTTATTATTTTATTATAAATAAGAATATTTGAATTTAGGTTATTAATTTTTAGTAGGGTATGGTGGGGTTAAATGGGTCATTTTTGAGGTATATTCACATTTGAAGTTTTTGAAGCAATAAAACCATAGATTTTTCTTTTTTTTTCCAATTGCACCTTAGCATTACATTCTTTCTGAACACGTTGATGTAGTTTTATCAAGCATTTTGTAATTATAAATTGATAGAATTTAATTTAGTGTCTGTCAAAAGTGTTTTGACCCATTTTATTCCAGGATGGGTGAAGTGCTTCATAATGCATAAATGATGCAAATATAAATAGGCCTATTTATTATGAAATGCATTAAAATGCATACAAGCATCAGCAAAACAACACAATTTTTGAATTTTGAAATGGTATTGTTTACGGTTATTGAAAACTTGGCTCTTCTAAAACTTTATAACAAGAGTCTGTTCAACAGTATCAATATCCTTTCTTCCAAGAAAGACATGAAATTTCCCTCTTGTGAATTTAGTTACTTCATGTGTATGTCCTCATCATCAATTTGTGTGATTTGACCAATGAATGTTTTTGTAAATTTTTTTCCTTTATTCGCACAGCAGCACCCTCGGGCTGGGCAAGGTCGACTCAGCCTTTCATCCCTTGGGTCGATAAAATGAGTGCCAAGTTCTCTTGGGGACTAAACACTGGGGGTCCTGTGACCCCCAAGCTGACCACTTGTTCAGAGCATATGCTTATGCACCCCGGGGCCCACGGCCAAGAAAGCAGATTTCGGGGCCTGCAGGCCTTGGCCCATTAGGGCTGTTTGCGACACTGAGTTTTTGAGTTTTTTTGTCTTTATATTCAAAAAGTACCCATTTTCCTGGTAAAAATTTTATATCTGATTTCTTGATCACCTTGCTGTCATACGATTCTTCAGTGGACTGGATTTTTCTTTTTCATTTTCTTTCATGCTTAGCCTGTGCTCCAAAGTTAATCTTTTTCTTATTGGCCTGTTCAGTTTCTCTATGTGAAGATGCTCTATTACTTTAGGTTCTGTCAGAACTCCCCAAATTTTATGTTAGACTCTTTTCCTTTCATTTTTAGAATTAGCTTTTGCAGCTTTAGTGACACTTGTTTGTACAAGTGAAAGAGTTATCAATATAGCAGATTTCAGTTCTTTGAATGGTGATGATAATTGATTTAACATTTTGACCTAAACTAATAGAGCCGGGGCTTTGGCAGCTGTAAAAGCCTTGAAAGGTCAGGGTATCTTGAAACGAATGCTTTCCCCCCTTTAAGAAATCACTTTTTATTTGCAACAAAGATCCTTGTGTGATGTTTAATGGATTGTCAGAGGGGTGCATATATGTCACAAAAGGAAGGGAAGTGAAGGGATTAGTTATTAGACTTCAAAATGCTTTTCATCATTGAGGGAAAATTTCATATTACAGTTGCTCTAGATTGAGTCTACTGGGTATTACGCAGAAGGAAATATGTAAACTTCCATTTAAGAAAATGTCATTCTTTATATTATGATACGTTACTCTTGTTTTTACAAAATTTGTTTGAATTTTAAATTACACTGCAAAATTATGTGTCTTTACTAAATGCTTATAGTTATTTCTACCATGTCTTTATACTAATGTTATGTCACAAAATTATTTCAATTGTTTGATTATTTCATGGACAATTTAAAATTTAGCTAGTCATCATCTGTGTTTTTTTTTTTTTTTTTTTTTTTTTTTTTACTGTTAAATGTCCTTTTATAATTTTAAATTTGTTTTGGTATATATTATGAAATATAGCTATATCTTTGAACTTTCTTCCATACAGGGAATAATTAAAAAATAAACACTTAATACTATGGAAATGATTAAAAATGAAAGTTCAGTGGAACTGTAAAATTTATGCTCTATGGGCTTAACCCCTTAACTGCCGCGGGCGTATATATACGCCTTGCTCAGCCGATGCCATAACTGCCCCAGGCGTATGTATACGTCCTTCCAAACTGCTATCATTTGCTTTGCGCTGCTACACCTAAAATTATTCGCAAAGTTAATGCATCGGCTGCGCATCTGGGGCTGTTAACGCATCGGCTGAGCAAGGCGTATATATACGCCCGTGGCAGTTAAGGGGTTAATGAAATTTTAATTTTACATAATTGTCAAAAATCTGCTTCATAACGTACTATTTAAGGAGAAAACTTTCAGCAAATTAGAATAGGTCTGGTTTAATTAAAAATAATTTTATTTTATTATAGACAAAATCAAAATTAAGGCAATAAGATGAATTTCCTTTTTTATGTTATTTCATTGTTTGATTTTAAATGTAGTTTATTCAGATTATATTTTTTTTGTTGGCTGCTCTTTTGACTTTTTAAGTGAATATAGATTGATGTGTGCATAGACAAAGTCAAGGGAGTGCACAATGCCTAGTTTGTGAAATTCTCTGATTTTTTTTTAAGTGAAAATAGGTTGATATTACATGGAAACCGAGTTTGTCCAATTCTTTGACTTGTTATTTTGGATTTGTGAAGCAGCTATTTTTGACCAAAAAATTGCCGCTACACAAAGCCAAAGTAACAAGTCAAAGAATTGCACAAACTCAGTGTCCAATGTAGCTGCCAATTATCACCAAGAGGCACCCGTAAATATATTTGTACCTAAATTTTAAATCAAAATAAAACAAGGAAATAACATAAAAATGGAAATATATGTTATCTAATGTGCAGAGTATGAAACAAAAATATTAGGTTGATCTTTACAATATGGTAACTGGTAGTTTGGCGACATTTTGGAGGCGATAAAGGTTACTACCTGGGACTTTGGTAATAATGTGAGCAGTACTCAGTTCCGATTACGCATTATTTTGTGTGAGGGAAATGAGAGATCATGGGATATGTCATGTGATATTAATGGACGAATTACGGTTCTTTAATCGGAAAAGGGGGGAAATCGGGAAAAAATGTGGAAATTTTGTATTTAGCTTTATTCTGTGTTGTGTGAAACAGTGTTGTTTAATTTTTGGATCCCATGGCCCTAACTAAAGTGAATTCGAAATGGGTATTTAGGCATTGTGATAAAGAGAAGTTTGCTTTTTATTTAGCGGAGGAAGTATAGAGGAAAAATTCGCAGAAAAAATCTTTCAATAATTTTATTGAATGAATTAGAAAAGTGTATCCGCCACGTAATCAAGATTCTGAAGAAGATTAGGTAAGTTAGTATTTTTAATTATTTGAGGATATTATTTTTATGCATTGTTCTAAATGTAAGGTGGAAAGGAATTTGGTATTATTGGGAAAATTGTTATTAGCAATGATTTAGTTTAAAGTAATTAGGATTGTAATGTAATTTTTATTAATTTAATGAAATGATAGTTATTTTGTGAATTTTATGTTTGTAGGAATTTGGTATACGTTTAAGTTTTAAGTTGAAATAAACGTGCATGGAAATAATTTAAATATTTGATACTAAGTATTTGTAATGCTTGCGGTATGAATTCGTTGGTGACGTGTATAATGTAATAGATGATTTAGAGGTAAAAGTTTTTGGATATTTTATTTATTTTATATGTGGAAATGTTCATATTTGTAAAGGGTAAATACTTTTTCGCGATCAGGTAATTTCATATATGTTCTTTTTACCGGGTTTAAAGATTGAGAAAATTGTCATGTATTTTCGTGAAATTTTTCTAATTTATGAGAAAAAAGCAGTGTACATGGATATAGTGAAGAGTGTGCGCAATGCCATTTTTTGTGCAATTCTGGGATGTTTTTTTAAGTAAAAATAAGTCGACGTGTACATGGTTTAGTGATATTTTAATTAAATGATAGTTATTTTGTGAATTTTATGTTTGTAGGAATTTGGTATACGTTTAAGTTGAAATAAACGTGCATGGAAATAATTTAAATATTTGATACTAAGTATTTGTAATGCTTGCGGTATGAATTCGTTGGTGACGTGTATAATGTAATAGATGATTTAGAGGTAAAAGTTTTTGGATATTTTATTTATTTTATATGTGGAAATGTTCATATTTGGAAAGGGTAAATACTTTTTCGCGATCAGGTAATTTCATATATGTTCTTTTTACCGGGTTTAAAGATTGAGAAAATTGTCATGTATTTTCGTGAAATTTTTCTAATTTATGAGAAAAAAGCAGTGTACATGGATATAGTGAAGAGTGTGCGCAATGCCATTTTTGTGCAATTCTGGGATGTTTTTTTAAGTAAAAATAAGTCGACGTGTACATGGTTTAGTGATATTTTAATTAAATGATAGTTATTTTGTGAATTTTATGTTTGTAGGAATTTGGTATACGTTTAAGTTGAAGTAAACGTGCATGGAAATAATTTAAATATTTGATACTAAGTATTTGTAATGCTTGCGGTATGAATTCGTTGGTGACGTGTATAATGTAATAGATGATTTAGAGGTAAAAGTTTTTGGATATTTTATTTATTTTATATGTGGAAATGTTCATATTTGGAAAGGGTAAATACTTTTTCGCGATCAGGTAATTTCATATATGTTCTTTTTACCGGGTTTAAAGATTGAGAAAATTGTCATGTATTTTCGTGAAATTTTTCTAATTTATGAGAAAAAAGCAGTGTACATGGATATAGTGAAGAGTGTGCGCAATGCCATTTTTGTGCAATTCTGGGATGTTTTTTTAAGTAAAAATAAGTCGGCGTGTACATGGTTTATGTGTATGTGTTATTTTGAAAAACGCGTAAGGAGTATGGTATTGTGCACTTTTTCCCTTTTTCCCAATTTTGCAGTGAATATTTGTCATGATTAAGCAGTTTTGTTTGATAAAATTTCTAGCATAAGTGTAATTCGGCTAGTAGATTGTTGGAAGAAGTGTTCAGTAGATAAAAGAAAAGAAACATGTCTTTACTTCGTGAAGACAAAATGGCGGCGGGGAAAAAAAAATAGAGGGTTGCTGTAGGAGAGTTGGTCGCCAAATTTTCGCCAAAAAAATCGCCAAGTTACCATATGTAAAGATCACCAAATTTATTCTTGTTTTTTCTTGTTTGTGGGGTAAATTTTACCCAAAAACCTGTTTTTACTATAGAATTTAACTTATATACTGATTCACAAGAAGATTAAAAAATATCCTTCATAGTGTCAGACTGTCGGTGGCATTTCTTTCAAAAATCCCTTTTTATGACATCCCACATACCTTCAATAGTGTTTATGTGAGCATTTGTAGCGGCACAGCAGGTCACGTGAACGTTTAATCATTATAAAGAGCAAACAAACAACCTTTGTTTTTAATCATATAAATTTTAGGCAACAGCAAGGAAATGTCAGTCTCAATGTTGCTTTCATCAAAACAGCGACTGCCAGGTGAATCGTGTACTTGCCAACCTCTTTCCAAAAATAAAATATTTAATTGATACTGGTGCAAATGTGTAGCTATTATCAAAAATGTGTACTCTGTGTTCTAAGCCTTCCCAGAATTTGGTTTTATTTTGCCACCAATGGAACTAAAATTCCCACATTTGGCACTAAATGCCTTAGTGCCAAATGTGTTTGAATTTACTTTTACGTCGTACTTAGTTTGAATTTAAATTTATGTAGTACTTTTACTTGGTTATTTGTCATTGCAGATATAAATTAGCCAATTATAGGTGTAAATTTCCTTAAATATGGATTACTTGTTGATGTTGATAATAATTGCCTTATTGACTCTAAAACTAATTCGTCATTGTGTGGTAAATTGTTTGGGAATTCTTTTGATTCAGGCATATCTGTACTTCTTGGTGATTCTAAATTTGATAGATTACTAGTTGAGTATTCTGAACTCGCTAATCTTTCTTATGTAACCAACAAAAATCAGAATTTAACAATTTTCAATTGTGTTGAGACTAAAGGCCCTCCGGTGTTCTCTAAGGCTTGTTGTTGGTCTCCGGATTTATTCCAAGCAGCGAGACAAAAGTTTGATTTCCTTATGTTACAAGAAATCATTTCGCCATATTATGAAACAAAAATCCAAAAGCCCTTGCACTACCCCTCTTCACATAATCCATAAAGTTAATGGTGACTGATATCCTTGCGGTATTAATTGCTGCCTGAATGCTATGACTATCTCTGACTGGTGCAAATTCAAAATTGTGCACAGATATTTTTTGGGAAAAATATTTTCTCAACACTTGATTTGTCTAGGGTGTACCATAAAATTCTTTTTAATCCAGAGGATATGCCTAAAACAGCTGTGACAAAACCAATTTGGATTATTTGAGTTCCTTAAAATGCCGTTTGGTTAGTGAAATGCAAGTCAAACATTCCAAAGATTTATTCATCAAGCACTTTTTGGTTTTGGTTTTTGTATTCCCTACTTCGATGATCTACTTGTGGCTTCAGCGGATGAAAATGAGCATCAAAACCACCCTCATTTGATTTTTGATAGGTTGAAGAAATATGGGTTAAAATTAAATGCTGCTAAATGTGTCCTTGGAAAGTCATTGGTATCATTTCTTTAATATTGTCATTGGTTCTTTTAATTGCCTTTTCTTCTATTCGTCCCTTTTTTGAAAAAATCTGAATAATTTTTAACTTCTCTAAACCTGTGACAGTGTCCGACCTAAAGAGATTTTTGGCAATGTTGAATTTTATTGGCGATATTTGCCCAAGGCTGCAACTACCTGTGCATCACTTCATTCTCTTTTGAAAGATTCTAAGAAAAATGATAAACGTCATATTCTTTAGACAGCGGAAACAACTGTGGCCTTTGAAAAATATAAAACTGATCTGGCAAATGCAGTGACACTTTGTTACCATGCACCTGGTCAGCTGTTGTCATTAATGGTTAATGCTTCAGATGTGGCATTTTAACTGTTTTTCATTCACTACATGATAAACATCTTCAACCACTAGCTTTTTTTTCTCCTGAAAATTAACTCCAGCTGAAATTAAATACAGCAAGTATGATAGAGACTTACTCGCTATTTATTGTGTTGTAAAGAATTTTCCACATAATCTTGAGAGACAGCATTTTACAATATACTCAGATCATCGTCCTCTAACATTTTTATTTAGAAAAAATTTGGATTCAACATCCCCCAAGCAGATAAGATATATGAATTATGTTGCTCAATTCAATACTGATATACAACATATTCCTGGGCCAGAAAATATCATAGACGATGCATTGTCAAGAATTGCTGCTGTCAGTAAGCTGGACGTAACAAGCTTTCACAGATTGCTGAGTCTCAACTGAATGAATCTGAACTGAGTCAATTACTGTATGCAGAAAGTAGGTCATTAAAACTACAAAAGATCAAGCTTTTGCCTGATTAAAGTATATACTGTGACGTAAGGGGTGACAAGATCTGTCCTTTTTTTCATAACCAATTGCAAAAGGCAGTGTTTGATTCTCTTCATGGACTTTGTCATCCAGGTATATGATCCACACAGGAGCATAGCTAGAGTTTCCAGCACCTGGGAACAATTGAAAAATTTGTGGGCACCCCTTGGATGCTGTGCCCGGGGACAGATGTCCCCCCTTGCCCCACCCTATGTTGAATAGTGCTGATGCTCACAGGAATAATTGTGCGATTCTAAATCAGATGATAGTGGTTCAGTGAGTTTTAACATTTTTACATTTTTAACAATATTTTAATTCACTACAGAGCATATTCTTAGGCTGCCGCCTTCAACATAAGCAAACTTTATTCTCTTACAACCTTTGAGCATCAGCGCCGTCTAGCTCTTTTTCCTTTTTAAATTATGCAACACCTTAGCTACATCACTGGATCCCCAAAATGATTCATTCTGGCTCATTTTGTCTGGCCTTTCATGTCAAAAGATAGTGTTGCTTAGACTTGTGCTTTCATCGACTGCCAGAGGTCCAAAGTCTTACAGTGTGCTCTCAACCCATTGCCGTACTTCACTATATCCAGTCAATGTTTTGAACAAACTTTGCATTTGGATATAGTCAGGCCTTTGCCATCTATGAAAGGATACTCATACTTTTTGACCCTCATCAACCAATTCTCCCGATGGCTGGAAGCAATGCGAGTAGATATTTCGACAAAAACTATCGCTGAAACATTTTTTAGCCATTGGATTGCTAGGTTTTAAGTTCCCACTACCATAAATATTGATTAAGGCTGACAGTTTGAGTCATGCATGTTCACTACTGTTAGTAAAATTCTTGGTGTTTACCGAATTCGGACTTCTCCATACCATCCTGCAGCTAATAGATTACTTGAGAGATTCCATCGTTCACTAAAACAAGCACAGAGTTGCCAACTGTCCTGATTTAGGCGGAAGACTTCCTATTTTTAGCCATCCTCCTGCCAACCCGATTTGTAACAGATTTCTCTTGATATTTCCTTATTCTTAAGATTTCCCATGATTTTTATGTATCTTGGACTAATACTTCATTATTCGCACCAAAAAAAGGTGAATGTGGGTGAACTTGATTTTTCTTTAGATTACATCTAAAAGAAAACTGAAGTTGTTTTGTCAGTGAGAAATTATGCCCCCTTCTGCTTTGTGAATGACACTGCATTGTGTTAAAAAATGTTGTGTTCCAGTTTTTGAATCAGCATTGAGTGCCACAGCACGTCATCTGGCATATTAGACAATGAGCACAAAGCAAAATCAAGGCTGTTATATCAGTCATCTTGTCGCTGAGTGATGTGAGTGCATGTGATTTCGAGAAATAGTTTAACAAATTATGATCTTTATTTTAGTTATGTTTGCAAAAAAGGTAAAATACTGATGTACTTTTCAAAAATCTTGAACAGATGACTTTCCTTCAATTATTTCCTCAAGGAAATGTAATATGTTTGCAATGTGTACTGCTTGTCTTTGCGATTTCGCATAGTTGAAGCACCGATGTTGTCAAACATGTGCATACACAAGAGCAACATGAGTTTTCTTGAAAAAAAACAAAAAATTAAATTTTTCTGTGGAACCAAAGGACCAAAATGTTATTAATGCAGAATGCCTGTTCTCTGGCTTTTTACTGGAGCACAACCTGCCACTGAATGCATTGGATCATGCTGCAGCTTTATTTAGAAAGATGTTTCCCAATAGTGAAATCCCTATCGGGAAATGTGATGACAGATCACACATTGAGTTGATCAGTGTTAAATGAATGTCACTTACTGCGCATGCCGAGAAAAAAATTTGGCACGATTTGAAAAGAAGATAAATACGGTATATGGTTGATGTACGACTCTTGAGTGTTAATAGTTGTGGCATTTAAATCTTCATAGAATACATATATCTAAAGTGTAAATTAATTACTGTGTTAAAATACAATTTTTCTCTGTAAGGAATGTCAACATTGTTACTGCTTTAACAACTGTAAAGTTCAATGATATGGTCAAGTATAAATTCAATTGAAGAATGCAAAAAATGGGTAAAGGAAGTCGGCGTAAATTCAGATACCCCAGTGGATAGTGCAAGAGCTCTAAACCAAATGCTACTACTTGCTTTCAGGTATGTATATATTTTTCCATTTCAGTAAATTTGATATGTTATAAGTGCAAGTTCATATACTATGTCACAGTATCATCTTTCTTAACACACGTACAAAACTTCACTACAATATAATTAATTTTTTTAACATTTTCTAAATTTCTATATAATGTAAAGTTAAGTAAAAAGTTTTAAGAAAGGATTTGTTTCCTTACTGTTCTAATTTTTCGAAAAGAACACATCATTTTAAAAAAACTTCAAGAAGAAAACTACAGTACTAAGTCCATAATCCAGACTCGTCGGGACTTCGGCTATTCCAAATTAGGGGTTTTTCCGGATCATAGATCATCAATTTAAATCTGGTAAGATGGCATGCAGAAATTATATAATTAAAAATTATATAATTAAAAATTTGAAACCGTAATTTATGAAATAAAGAGCAATTATGATCTAAAAGGTATCAAATTTTACAAAAAAAAAAAAAAAAAGCTTAATATTTATTTGTTTACTTTATTAAACATTTCTTTCAATGTGCGCATGCATAAAGCATACATTATGCGCATGCATAATGTGCACGTAATGTATGCACATTCTTCATGCGCATGCGTAAAACATACAAGAAAAAAGTTTGTGGCTTTGAGGTCCGGATTATAGATCATTCCGGATAATGGACATCCGGATTACAGACTTTGTACTGTGTTAGTATTTACAGTGTAATTTTATTTCATATAAAACTGATGCAAGATACATGTACTTAAGTCATTTTACTTTACTAAGTTTTATAAAAATAACCATATTTTTTTATCTCAAAATGTGCTGAACCTTTTTTTTGAAGTTAATGTAATATAAAATAATGTAATGAATTGTGGTATAACTGTAAAGAATTGGTGAAAATAAAATATAATTGCTTTAAATTTACTTAACTCCATATGCTATTAAATATCTGTTGAATAGAAAAAGCTGATGAAATATCAAATGTTCCAAGCTCTATTTTTAAAAGGCAGATGATTATAAAACATGTAGGAATTGATGATGATTTTTAATAATCCTTTAGTAAAGTCAGGAATAAAATATATTTGGTATATGTAATTTTTTGTGAATGTTTACAATAACATTTCACTTTTTAATATTATAAAATATACTTGGATTGTTTTCATGTGTGCTCTATATTATTGCAAATTAGTTCTTCATAAAATGATTTATTTCTGCAGTGAAAAGTATGCATGCCATCATGCAAGTTATAGGAAAGCATGAACATGTACTGCACATGTACGAGGAAGGCAAGATAACAATTATGACTGTAAATCATCACTGCTTATATCTGTCAAGCTGACTACACAAACTATAGTAGCAAAAGATAAGTTGTAGAAAGTGTGTAACAGAGATTTATACATACATTATAGTTAGTAAATAATCATTCTTAACTATAAATAAAATTTAAATATAATGAAATTCAAACCCCTTATTTCATTTTTTATAATTTCTCTTCTTATTACGAGGGGATTTCACAACCATTGACTCCTCTCATTGTTAAATAATTCATTTAGCATTGAACAACATATTATTTTATTGGTTAAAAAATAATAAAATATTTTGTGTGTATGACCAAGCTATGATCTAAGATTTTTCAATGCTTGAAGCATCATTTTAAAGATTTTTATAAAATTGTTTTAATTTCAGGCATTGGCAGAGTGAATGGCAGTTGAAAAATTTTGGCCCTTATTCTGGAAGTGGAATGTTAGATGTAAGTAATGATGTCTGAGTTACTGATAATAATAATGTGAAGCACTTAAAATTGTAAGCTTTGCTAATGGAAATGTAATAGGCAATTGTGGTTGTTATGAAAAAGGTGAAGTTTCAAATACAGTTGTTTCAATTAAAATTATTATAGACATTATTTAATTTTGTCATAATGCTAATTAAATATATGAACTAAGAAAAAATAAAAATTAGTACATAAGCATACTAAATAGCTCAGAGTAAGATTTCCACTTAATTTTATAATAGGCACTGATTCATGCATACAATGGCTCACACACTGATATAAATTTGGTGTGCTTTTATACTATTTACAAGTCTCCAATATTCAGATTTGAATTATCATCTTTCATCAAATTCAGTTAATCAGGCATTGTTGACTTTATTAGTTTCTTGCAGATGTGTGAAGTTTTGAAACATTTTCATATTCAGTGTAGTTGTTGTTATCTTTTCAGGTTTTCGCATAATATCAATCAAAAGCATTGCCTCTCCATTTTCATGGTCAAAAAGATAAAGTTAAAAAAAAAAAAAAAAAAAAAAAAAAAAGAAAAAAAGAAAGAAAGAAAAAAAGAAAAATGGTAACTATCATATCTAAAACGTTCTTTTATTACACAATTATTATTTAAGTCATCCAAATGAGAAACTATTTTTATAATGCCTTTTTTTTTACTTTTCCAATATAGCATGTTATTGAAGCCATTTGAAGTGTAATTATAATATAAGCAAAGTGTAATTATTATGTAATTAATCTATCTTTCCTTCAAATATTTCTTTAAAATTACGAGAGACATGGATACATTTGAGCTGTGATTAACAGTCTTGGGGTAATAACCATGATGGATAAGAAAACAGATGAATAATAGATTACCCATTATCACCAACATATAATACAAGGATTTAAAAATGAAGATTGCTTATTAGTGTAAAATTTCATTGTATAATAGATATAAAAATTATAGAACTGAAAATTTGTCACATATCATCTTTGCTTGTTACGATATACATTGGAAATAAACAGTCTGCTTCTGAAACAGAATAAGTATCAAATATCACTCTTGAAATTTTTTGTATGCATGGGGTTTTACTGTTTGGTACATTATACAAAGAACAGTATATATAATGATTATCAAGTCTGCACAGAAATTTTTAATGCAAAATTCTTGTGCATAGATTTAGTTGATGTTTTGTAAGACTTGCCAATATTTCAGACTTTTATTCTAAACACTGTGACAAAACAATTGTAGATTACATTATGTAACTTATATTAATAGCTTTCATATATATGTATAAAATACATATTCTTTGTGTCTTGGTGAAAACATTCTGCCTCAAGAACTAGCAAGTAATAGAAACTGATGGTCAAAAGATTGATGAATATTTAATAATTTTGATGGGATAGATGAAACTTTATTTAAGAGCATAAAATAGTTTAAAATATATTAAAAATGGTTTTTGCAAAATGTTTCCTAATATTTTATCTCAGACTAAATGATACACATTATATTTAGTGTATAAGTTCATGTTCTTTTGTCATAAAGTACGTTTTATTGAAATTCGTGTTCAATTGTAAAGTTAAATTTATAAAAATATGATATTAAAAATGTATTGCAGATATTAAACTAGATTTTAATTATATGTAATTTTGAAATTTAAGAGATCTTGGATGCTGTAATTATTTTTAATGTTTTTATTAAATTTTTAAGTAATACATTACACTCACATTAGATAGTGAAATGAAAGAATACTTAGGGATATAATTTGGCTGCATTTTGTTGTTTCTCTGTTCAATTCATATGCATTCAAAAAATTACTCAAGGATTCTCATGAATACCATCTCAGACAGTTCAGAAGTATTTCTGAAAAATATCTGTAATTGCTTAAGAATTGTATCTTTTTGATAATATTTTTTTTAGCCTTTACAAGTTAGTGCCAAAATTATTTTGTAAATTAGAAATCTTTAAGGGGATTAGTGTGTTTCACATAGTTACCCTGGTGCCACACTATAGCACTGGAATTGGTAGATACATAAATGAATGTTTAATTAAAAATGTCTAATTCCTCTTTTATGATATTTCAAGAATTAATACTAATGAAACAAAAATATTTGTACATTTACCTTTTCTTGATTTTCATTATATATTTGTTATAATGTCATTACAAGTCAGCATTTGATAATGTTTGTTTCAACAATATCGGCTTTGAAGAAGTGCCACAGTGATTATCACACAAAGAATGTGTGCAGGTCAACCGCCAACACAAGACAGTAAAAAAGAATGAAAATGATAAATTTTTGTGAATATTCCTTTATTCTGTTTATTTTGCATCTTATGCTATTCTGAATCCATGTATGTTTTCATACTTTGCTCTATTATGCATTTCATACAACAATTGTTTGTAGTACATATTAATTATATGTCTATATCTATGTCTATATTACGTCATTGAATAAACCATTTTTACCATTCAGTAGTTCTTTTCCATGAAACCATGAACATTAAAAACACCCATATCACTAACCTTCGATTCCAAATACTTGAGTTTACTTAATTCATGCATTAGTAATACAGTAGTGATATATTTTGGGGTAAACAAATTCCACTCAATTGGACATTTTAAAATGTTCTTCCTTTTAATAGAGGAAATTTTTTTTAAATATTTAATTAGTATTTGAATATATGTGTGTTTAATAAATATATAGTGAATACATTTTGAACAGTAACTTCAGATGAGGAAATAATATGATCTGCCTGGGTTAAAAAATTAATTTTTAAATGTAATTATTTTTGAAATTATATATCTGTAAACCAAAGGAGTTAGAGCACTAACCCTCAGCCATTATATGAAGTTTTCCTATATTATTAAAATGTTCATGCATTTTGCAAGATGAAGATCACAAGTACTCTGCCATTATAACTAATGATGATATAATAGCATGGAGTAGATTTCAGTATAAGGAATATGGAGCATTATATTTTGGTCTTTGTTTACTAATTAGCTCACATTAAAAAAATTCATGTCATACAGTAAGTATTCATAATTTTTTCTCATTTTTTAATATTTAACTGAAGTATTTAAATGCTAATTTAATTATCAATACCTAATAATGTCAAGTGCATATATTATTATACAGAATGGGGTTCTGGCCATAACGCTTGGGCAAAGTGATATATATGTATATATACAATCAAAAGTTGTTAATTCAGACACTCATAATCGGGAATGATCTATAATCTGGACCTCAAAGCTACAAACTTTCTGCGCATGCGCATAGGCGTTTACGCGTGCGCGTAAGACCTTTACAGCTGCGAATATGCATGTGCGCATAATACGTTTACGCATGTGCATTTAATGTATAACGGACAGTATAAGCTAAGCTAAAATTATCTAATTCAGTTAATGTTGCAGATTGCGTTGTTCCTTAATCTTCGAATTGGATCCGGCTTATTATTTTTTGCAGACTGTTAGAGCAATTTTATAAAAGTAAGCTTGAACTTTCGATTATGTCAAATAGAATTTCCTATATATATTTACTAATATGTAAAGGATCTACAAAGCGAAAGTATGTTTTGAAATCTGAAATCTGTTTATCAATTTCATGCTGCTCTGCAGCAGGGGGCGGGGAGAAACGCCACAGCCTGCAATGAATTGGAAGTTGATCTGTCAACACTATCCTTATCAGGGCAGATGTTTTTATTTTATTTGGCTTATAATTCCTTACTAAATGTAGTATTTCATCTCGATGTACTCCATCTTTGATATGATTTAAATCAAGTTCCTCGTCATTATAATTCATTTCCGATAGTGAAGAAAGTGACGGAGAGGTTATTGAAAACGAAAACATTTCGATTGACAAATTAGTTGGTATTTTCGACACAGCAATTATAGGACTTGAAGAGCGGAACTTTGTAACTAAACAAGAAATTATGTCTGTTTAATAGAATTAAACAGAAAGTATTATCACATGAAACGAAGCAACTTAAACAACTTACATTGAAATAAATGTTTAATAAAGTAAACAAATAAATATTAAGCTTTTTCTTTTTGTAAATTTTGATACCCTTTAGATCATAATTGTTCTTTATTTCATAAATTACGGTTTCATATTTTTAATTTTGTAATTTCTGCATGCCATCTTACCAGATTTAAACTGATGATCTATAATGCGGAAAAATCCATAATCCGGAATCGGCGAAGTCCCGAAGAGTCCGGATTAACGACTTTTGACTGTATATATATACACATTAATTTTTCACCAAATTTCTGCATTATGCACTTTACTCTCCACACAGTGTTTAGTTTTTTATTTATTATTTGAAGGACGTAAGGCCCACAAATAATAAAAAAATTATAACAATACCATAAATTGTGACTCTTATATTATCCAACAGAAGACCTATGTTCACATCTTATATTTTAAGTTTACAGTTTTCTTTTATAGATGATGGTCATCATACTATTTATGATGAATATTATGATGTCAGGAATAGTATGATGATGATGAATATTTTGATGTCCGACCTGAATATTATGATGTCCATCATCATAATATTCAGATCGGTGTCAGACATGTTTGGCATCTGATGGTACAAAGTTCGAGCATCTGTTGTAACATTCAAGCTGTTGTACACCATTTGTATTCATAATCCAATAAATGTTAGAGATTAATCACTCTTGCTTCTTTTCCCATCTTCTATCTCTGCTATCACTTACCCCTGACATTTCCGGGTGTTCATATGCCATTCTTAATCCTTATAATGCGCCCTACTTCCCCTAGAAGTTTGTCACAATATTTACAGTACATCTTGTATTCTTAATTTGTCTCTGAAAAATCAACAGCATTCTTACACACTGTTTTAGAAACCTTTCTGTGTCTAGTATTTTATCAGCAGAATTTTTTCTAAATAAATACAGAAGTTATTAGAAAACAACTGAAACTATATATCTTGAAAAAGAAACAATATTTGTAATGCTTGGTCAGTCATAATAAGTTATCATAACTGCATGCATGTTATATGCATTATGTGTATGCATAATGACCAAATTTTGGCAATAAGTAACTATCGCCAAGTAATCACAAAATCTAATTACTGGAAATCAAATTTATGTATGTATTTGCCAGTCTTAAAGAATTTTGTGGGGAACTATAAATATATCAATTTCTTATTAATATAAAATCATTTGCTAATAATTCTGAAATATTAAAGAAAATTTATTTCTTAATTTATTAAGCCAGCTAAATCATAGACCAAAATATGTATTTCTGCAGATATTCAGAATTTCAGAAAATACAAGTACAGCCACTGTTGCATTATATGTAAAATATGAAATATATTTCTTTTAAATTCTTGGAATATTCAAAAAAGTATCTAAATTCAAAGAAACATTAAAATAGCTTTTACTTGCATAGATACTTTCTTATTTATTTGATTATATCACCATTAATAACAATATTACCCCCTCCCAGATTAAAAAAATATATTCCCCTTGACAATTCAATTAATCTACAATCAATGACAATAGTTCCATTTTAAGTACTTTAAATTTTACTTTTAAATTTGTTATTTAAAATTTTTATG